AAAACCCCCCAAAAAAAAAAAAAAAAAAAAAAAAAAAAAAAAAAGAATGGTCACTGATAATGGAACACGTAAAATCTAGAGAAAGGCTATAAACCTAAAGTTTGTGTGAAGATTTTTTTGCTTTTATTAAAAACAGACACCATTTCTAAGGATTTGAATGAAAAAAAAAGCTACAGATGTTAACTTTCTGAAATTAGATAAATATCAGAGGGAAGAGATAGTATTTTCAGTGCTGGTCTACTCAATGATTTGGTTTTGGATGGACTTTTTGACCTTGGTTGGCCCAGGTCAGACAAACCAGAGAAGGGGGCATTTAACACAAGCAAGAATTTGCCTCTAATTCTTCATGCAGCAAACTGAAGCAACAAATCTACAAGTCATCTTTCCCCACAATTGGTCCTTGTGTGTGTGTGTGTGTGTGTGTGTGTGTGTGTGTGTGTGTGTGTGTGTTTTCAGACAGGGTCATGCTCTGTCACCCAGGCTGGAGTACAGTGGCACAGTCATGGCTCACTGCATCCTGGAACTCCTAGGCTCAAGCCATCCTCTTGCCTCAGCCTCCCAAATAGCTGGGACTACAGGCATGCTCCACCATGCCTGGCTAATTTTTTTATTTTTTGCTTTTTTTGTGTATGTATCTTTTGTAGAGCTAGGGCTCACTATGTTGTTCAGGCTAGTTTTGAACTCCTGAACCCAAGAAATCCTCCCACCTCAACCTCACAAAGTGCTGAGATCACTGGCATGAGCCCCTGTGCCTGGACGGCATTAGTCTTCCTAAAGCACACTCTTATATCATTCCTGCTTAGAATTGTCCAGTGAATTCCCTCTACCTGCTAAACAACTTCCAGGAGCTTTAATATTGCCCTCAAGAGCTGTAGTTATGGCCAGGAACAGTGGCTCAACCCTGTAATCCCAGCATTTTGGGAGCCCAAGGCTGGTGGATCACTTGATCCCAGGAGTTCAAGACCAGCTGGGACAACATGATGAAACTCTATCTTGACTAAAAACACAAAAATTAGCTAGGTGTGGTGGCATGCACCTGTAGTCTCAGCTACTTAGGAGGCTGAGGCACAAGAATTGCTTGAACCTAAGAGGCAGAGGTTGCAGTGAGCTGAGATCGTGCCACTGCAGAGCGAGACCCTGTCTCAAAAAAAAAAAAAAAAAAAAAAACCTGTCTCAAAAAAAAAAAAAAGAGAGAGAGAAAAAAGCATCTGTAGTCTAATCACAGACCAAAGTTCCAGATTACACTCCCTTTATTCCATGCTTGGACCAAATCAAATGAAACTCATTGTTCCCCAAATATGTGATGCAGTCTTTACATATCACAATTTTGTTTAAGTCATTCCCACCGACTGGAGTTCTTTATGTGTTAATATCCGACACATCCTTCTAGGAACAATCCAAACGTCTTCTCCAGCTATTGCATTATAGCCCCTTTAAGTTTGTCTTGAAATAGCATATATAAATTTGGCAGATTTTATTTTATCTGTAATCATTTCAAATGACCAAATGTGACTATAACAAACATTTAACACTTTTTAAATGTAATACGTTGTATATGCAATAAATCAATTTTCCTTAGACATTTCAGTATTATTTACAAATGTAGAAATGTTCTTATACTTTTTAATTTTACAAGTCTAAAATTAGTTACATAGTTGAAATTGAAATTGCAGAACTAATAAATTCGAGTCTATAATATTCCAGTTTTTTAAAAAATTGTAAGTGCTTTAATACCAAGTACATATAGATTGTCTTAATAATTATAAAACATAATTGAATGTAACACAAAAGTATTATTTTGACTTTGATTTAATATCTATATTTAATTCCCAGGCTAGTAGAAACAGACACTAAGAAAAGCAGATTTTAAAACCTCAGGCAAACTGATTACTAGATGGACAATTCGCTATTTGCTTAGTGGGAAAAAAATTCATGACTGATAAATGTATCCCAAGTGTTATATACTTCTGGGAGAAATCTACATCAACCACAAGGACATAATCAGAACCATTTTCAATCCTTATTTTCTTAGAAGGTTTCCAAATCCACAGCCTTTAGAAAGAATTGGTTTTGTTATACCTGATTCAGACTACATCCTAAAAAGTTATTTGTCTGATAGGTAGAAGGAAGTTTGGCTAGCACAGTGGCTCATACCTATAAACATAGTGCTTTGTGAGGCCAAAGCAGGAAGATTTCCTGAGTCCAGAAGTTTGAGACCAGCCTGGGCAACATAGCAAGACCTTAACTCTACAAATAATAAAAAAGGTTAGCCAAGCCTGGTGGTGTAACTAACCATAGTCCCAGCCACTCAAGAGGCTGAAGCAGGGAGATTGTTTGAGCCTAGTAGGTCAAGGGTGCAGTGAGCTATGATCACCACACTGCACTCTAGCCTGGGTGATAGAGTGAGACCCTTTCTCTGAAAGAAAAAAGAAAACAAGATGTAGAAAAGTAGAAGAAACTCTCAAGTTGCAGTTAATTTCCTTCAACAATCTTTTCCTGGCCTACTTGAAATTTTACATTTTTTCCATATTCTGTCAAACTAGACACAATTTTTTAAATGACATTTAATTTTTTAAAAGCTTTTCTTTATAGAGACAGGGGTCTCACTAGGTTGCCCAGGATGGTCTCAAACTCCTAGCCTCAAGAGATCGTTCCTCTTCGGCCTCCCAAAATATTGGGATTACAGGCACGAGCCACCACACCCGGCCATCACATCTAATTAGATTGCACATTTATCCCATACCAATGTCTCATCTAGATTTTTTCCTGAGACCAGAACTCTATAGTTGTGCTGAGAATAGCACAATTAAGTATTAAAGCTGAGCCAAAGATGGAAGCTGTAATGAGACTGAAGAGGTAGATGAGGGCTAAATCTTGATGGTCCTTTTAAACCTTGTAAAGGAATTTAGAATTTATCCTTGAGACAACAGAGATGTACCAAAGAATTTTAAGCTCAGGGGTAACATCATCAGATTTGACCCAATCATCCTGGCCATAGTGGATTGGATTGGAGGAGGCAATACTGGAAGCATGGTGGCCATAAACTGCCGTAATCTTGTTGGGAGACAATAGTGGCCCCAACCAAGGTATTAACTGTTGGAATGAAGAGACATAGACAGATTCAAAGGACAGTAATGAAGTAGAAATGATTGTTCCATAGGGGGAATGGAGATGGAAAAGTTAAGCCTATACCTACCATGTGGCTGGCTTAAGCAGATAGTGCTGATGCCACTTACTGAAATAGAAAACAGCAGAAGTGAGGCTGATGTAAGGCTAGAGTGGAGGGCAAGGAAGATCAAGAGAGCATAGGAGGTGTAGAAAGGGGAGACATTCAATTTTGGAAACGCAATTCAATTTGAATTAACTTCTGTTGGGACATCCACATGTGGATAGATGTACAGGAGTCAGTTGGATATATGAGTCTGAGTGTCAGGAAAAATGTCTGGGCTACAGATAGGAGGCTGAGAATCAGCAGCACATGTAATTGAAGCTGTGGAAGTGGGTAAACCTCTTCAACAGACAATGCAGCTTAAG